TGATCCGGAATGTTTAAAGATGATCTGGCATCGGCGTGGTTGCGGCAGTGTAAAAGGATGTGTAAGACCTTCCCCACAGGTTAAGCAATGGGCAGGGTCTTCACGTCTCATAAGAAAGCTATGTGTAAGCCACGTATGCCCAATTTTGGTGATGAGTGATGGTCAAGGATTGATAGAAAGTTTGACTTCGTTTAATTTTGTCTGTAACGATGTCCAACGTAGTTGCCACTGTTGCAGTGTCAGAGACTGTATGCCTTAATGCAATTTAGAGAGCAAATTTACACTAATTTATATAGTAATGTAGATATATCTATTTAATATATATTTAAGTATTTTTTAAATTCTAGTATTCACACAGCTATTTTTAATGCATTTCAAAAAATTTTTTAACAAGTATCATACCGATCTGTAGTAAATAACAGTAGATTATGATTGCAATTGTAATATTGTATATGTGCATGTATGTAACATTACGGTTGTGTAATCACGTACAATTCATATTTGATGTATTTAACACTGCAGGTTTAAACCAGCTAACTGGAATATGTGGAATAGCAATTATTGATTTTAATATACATATATCTATATTATAAAGTCTTTAATTTACTCGTAAAATCGTATGTATCATTTATATTTCACCGATATATCTTATTATAGTTTGATGGTTATTATATTATTAAACTTGAATACTTGATACATTGATTTAACATTTCGACGCGACGGCGGTGACCAGTGAGAGTAGGTAGTCTGAGCGGGAGTGCTACAACAGTGAGTGCGTCGCCGTTGTCGTAATACCCGGTTGACCAGTTGTTACGACATACACATTTGACTTAACGCAAATCGTTTGTACACTCACTCTATATTACTTTATAATGCAACTCTCTCTACTGCCGCCGTCAATAATATAGTAATATCTTCGTGTGTAGGTACTTCTTCGGAATTAAGAGTTTTTTTTATCTCATAATAACACATTAAGTGATTTTTTGAGATTTTTTGCCTCCATTACCACCAAGTTTATAATGAACTTATACACTATGCGACAACTTGAAATAGTCATAAACTATATGCATGGCATTTTTGCGTGTGGTTGGGTACTTCTTGGAAGGATATAAATTTCTCCGCCTAAAAAAAATATATTCTCAAATAACTGATTTAAGTAAAACATATTAAATAATAATTTTAAATATCCAAATCAGTGTAGTTATTATAAAAATAAATTGTGATAAAATCGGCCGCACAATTATCACGGCTTATATAAACACGATAAAAATAATATTAGCAATGGAATGAATGTTTTTATTTTTTTAATGGGGCGTTGTTGGTTTGATTTTTTTATTCTATTATGCGAACAGTTTTTTTTTTAGTAGAATTGCTCAGATTCTTTCATATACTCTATCTCTATAAATTACTTTGGAGAGAAAACAAGTCACAAAAAAAATCAGTAAAATTAATTAAGTTTACATCACACTTTACTTTTTTTATTTTTATTTTTATCGATTAATACCTAGTATTAGAGATTTAACATTTTTATTTTTATTCAAATAAAATATTAGCTCCAAATATAATTTTTAATATTCGCCACAAATTATATACAATATATAATACATAATAATATGGATAATTTTATAGGTAATGAGTAACCATTTAACTAAACATAGCTGCAAGCCTGTCAAAATAGTATACATTTACAGGCTTATAATAGTATTGCTACTATTTCATACTAAAAGGTATGTTGACAGTGGGGTAATAGGTATATAATATAAGAAAACTGTCAAACGAGACTAAAATGACAATTTTATTCTAGATATTACATATTTAGTACCCAGCTAACATTAAAGATGTAAACGTAAATGATTGATTTCTGATCATAATATATTTATTCACTCATTTTGTTTACGCTCTTTTTCACTTACACATAGGTAAGCGTTCACTCTTTTCCTTTCGCTCTATTGTCGGGATATCAGACTACAGCCTAGGGGCCCAAACTAGTCACACGCTTAAAAGGATATAATATATTTATTTCCAAACATATTATGAACGTACAATAACAACTAATAATGTTGTTAAGGCAATAATTATACATTTATACACGCACTGTCAAATTATTTCGTCATCTTTTTATAAAGATTGATTCTCACTTGTCTGTTCTCAAGTCCTTTAATAATATAGTAAAAGTAATAATATAATGATTGTCAATTATCATGATTCGATGTTTCCATCCATGCTATGGTTTATAGTACATATTTTTACATAATTTACTTAAATTACATATTTTTGTTAAATATTCAACTATTTACAAAATTATAGAAATGTATCGCCGTTTTAGATTATGTGATTTTCAAACTTAAAATAGATGCTGTTTCAGTAGAAAGTGAGAAAAATGTAATTGAAAAATAATTTGTTGTACTTATATAATCCTCCAATACTACATCCCTTGGCAATTCTATTAGGGCTTTTAAATTTACTCCATTAACTTCCGCCGGCGTGAAAAGGTCCTTAAGCCACTATAAAATTATATTGCGTCATAATCGACATTGATTTACTTATTGTTTTATTCACGATGAAGAAGATAACTTCAATGAATAAATACTCAATTTGAATGTATTCCTAATTAATGTTAATAAAAAAATAATCTATTTTACAAATAAACTTATTTTATGGTTTTTTTTTTTCAAGAATAAAAACATTTTTTTTTTATACCTATAGGTATATTATCTTGTATTTTTAATTAGGTACATATTTGGATAAAAATAAATACATATATTTTATATATTTACATATTTTTGAATTTTTAATGCATATAAATCCGCACTCTAGCAATATTTTAAAACTAGATGATGGAAATTTGTTTCGTTAGAGAAATTCATTAGTTTTCTGGACGTCACGGGAGGTTAGTATTAGGCAAGTATCTCATTCCTGTTTGATGATTATTAATTTTGTAGCTTTATAGTAACTCCAAACGAATAACAGTACTTAAATACTTTAAATTTTTACCAAATATTTGTATCACCATTATTTGTATATCATAGAACTTCAAAAATATTTTCAATCTTTTTGAACCATTTTAAGATTTAAAGGAATGAAAAATTCAGAAAAAGTTTGAAAATTTAATACAATAGTMATCTCATTATAAGTTGTTGTAATAGAAATTTAAACATATTAAAGATATATATTATGCAAATTTTTTTTTTATAAGAATTTTAAATACAAATTATGTTTGCATTTGATGCTACATTTAAGGATTGAACATTTAAAACAAGGTTTCTCATAATTAGTTATTAATGTAACCTACAAATCTAAAAAATATATAATAACCATTTTTTTATATATATATATATATATACACATTTTAAGTTCAAATTTGGACAAAATAAGGCATTTAATTAAATAATAACAAAGTTAAGTAGTTATTTTTGTACAAATTATATGTACCTCAAAAATATTACTCGCGAAGACATAAAAACTTTTACGTAAATTATAAATTTTACTGTATCTATCTATTCAATGATATTTTCAAAATATTTAAAATTTTCAAAAGCTATTATTACCTAGGTAATCATTTCACAAAACTTTTCACACAATTCTATACAGTATAAGGTGATATTGACTCAAAAGTTAATGATAATATTATAATATAGTATGATAGAAAATAATACTATTATAAAATATATATATGTATGTATATTATTATAAATGCAATGTTTTTGAAAAAATTAAATCAACCTGCTATAATATTATACTATTAAGCAAGTGTAAAATAAGTTACTTTAATTGAATAATGAAAAAAAAAAAGAAACAAATCATAAAGTATACTAATTGATATTGATGTATTCTTTCTAATCATTGAATTAAAATTTAGCATATCCATTACAATGTTCCATTAAATATTATTTACTGTACAGTGGTAAGTGGTTTCCATTTGCTCACTTTTTTCCTTGATAATTTTTTTAAATTACTGATAACTTTAAATTTTGACCACTAAAAATACCAACCAGTCACTGGATCCAGTTTTCTACCAAAAACATCTTCGTCGAAGTTGATGGTTGAACCATTTTTTTCCCCATAGAAAAAGTGTCTACAGACACGAATACAGAAACAAACACACACATCATAATAATATCATACAAATCAACACGTTCATCATCATTATTAGAATCTAATATACATGTATAGAGTTATTGATATTTGGAAATTAATTTAAAAAGAATACATTTAAATAATCCTTACAAATTAAATAAAGACAGATTATTTACATATTATAATGATTATTACTTATTAGTTAGGTATTTCAAAAAATATATAGATACATGAAATAAATAATAACTATATTCATATAGAACACGTTATTCGGTAGTAGTGTCAATAAGTACATAATATGTGAACACTCCAGTGGCGTACGCAGGGATAGGGGTCTATGGTTCTGAGTTCTGATCTCAATGAAATTTTTTCCTTTTACAAAAAAATCTAATTTACCACCATTTCAATACACTGAGTCGATCAATTGTTGAGAATTTTTAATAGATATAAAATAAATTGTTAAATTACTATTAATTATAATTTGTTACAACTATGATTATATAAAAACTGTTAAGCAAAGTATAATGTAAATTATTTACTTATGTGAAACCCTTACTAAAATCCCGCGTACGTTACTAGTACACTCCCACGCATCGAGTTGTGTACTTACTGCCAACTCTAACTGCTTAGTATCTTTGAACTTATTCAAATTATGCACCAACTACGCTGCAGCAACATGTGCAATACCGGGAATGTATTTAACACTAAATAAATGCGTGAGCGCTGCTTATTATTACAGAACACGCAACATTATTTTTATACAATATACATATATATATATATATATATATATATATATATAACTGTTTATGATATTACATATACTTACTACTATATAATGGTAATAATAATATTATTATTATACTACTTTCATTTTTTTCTCACACCGGACGCCGCCCCGCTCACGTGCACTCACATCGCCCGCACATTCACAGTGTACATCACACGCGACCAACCGTCGATCGTCCGCTACAGTCGCTCGCCTGCGTACGGCAGCAGATCAGTCAAACGATTTTTTACAATTTGCGCTCGCTTGCACGCCCGCACACACGTTCTCGTATGCTTATGTATAAATAAGTACGAAATACGCGTATATAATAAGCGCCAGCACCGCTGCTGCTGTTGGGACGTCGTATATCTGTCGCGTGTGTGTGTGAGTGTGAGTACGCAGATATAATAATAGCAATATTGGTATTATTTACTATATTATAATCAAATACAATATTGTATATTATATATATTATATATAGCTGCAGCGCTGTAGGTAAAGCGGTACAACTGCAGTCGTCGTCAATAAAAAGGTTCAACGCAGCCGGTGTAACACGACGGGCACCCGGAAAAACGCGGTCATCTCGACTGCACTTCACTTGAGATCAACTGCAAGTGTCGGTGGAGTCACGTCAGAAAACACAAACACTTTGCTGACAAAAGGTATATTTTATTATTATTATTATTATCTTCATTCATCATCATAATTATACTGTTTCGAACGTATACCTATTACCTGTAGAAGTGCACTTGGACGTGTATTAAAATCAATATTTATTTGAGTACCTGAAAATAGTCGTAATAGACGACAAGTGTGATCTACATATGTATGTAAACGTCCTATACATTATACCAATTTAATACATAACATAACAAATACTATATATATTATAATATTATATAATATATAGAACGTATACCTACATCATATTATGTTTATAATTTATACCATCGTTCGAGTAATGCATACAATTTTTCGATTATTACGTTACGTAAAGCCGAGTACATACATTAAACGAGTCAATGTGTTTACATAATTATAAGATCCGAAATCCGAGATAATAATTGGTCGTGCAACGCGCTCGACTTATTTCGCGACTATACTTCCTCCTCTTCCGGATGTAAGTATTTTAAATATTACGATAATATTAATATATAATAGACGTTTTAAATAAGGCATAGGTAATACCATAAAACCCGTTTGTTAGCGTGTTAAAATCCTAGTAATAAATATAATATCGTTACAACCACTGATGAATATAACAACTCGACGGACCAGACAGCGTATACGTAATATAACTCTAACGCGCACAGTGCACACACGCTTGTTTAAAAACGACCACACGCGTAATAAGCATGCTGTGGCGCGAAACTGTTTTTTTTTCATTTGGCGTTACGTGATTCTAATTAAGAATACAAATCCGGTACATCTTGTATACGTTTATGGCGTTCGGGTGACGTTTACATTCTGTAAGTCCTATACAAATTCATTATGATGAACGTCGAATACATTTTTACTTGTGTAACGGTCAACAGCTAAAAAACTTTTAGCTGCATCAGTTATTTTGGATTTTATAGCTCATCGAATATGTCTTAGGTGATATTTTAAAATTTAATACTTTTTAAATACCAACTAATATATTTTTAAAAATCGCTAGGAATGGCCTTGATAATTTTTTAGTAAGCTAAAGTCCGCTTCAAAAATCAAAAACTAGTATTTGCATTTGGTTAAATAATGTCATACGTATTATATGTAATATGACGTAATAAGTGTAATATATTGTAGTATATTATTATGCAAATATGTTAAAAAGAACGGAAACTTGTTGCCGAGATCGAGGTGGTGTTTATGTAAAAAAAAAACAATGACTATGGTCAGCTGACACATCGGGTGTCCGGTTTTTTATTTTTTTTGTCTTTCACTTTTAATACATTTTTTATAACCGTCATGTTTTCCCGATGCCGATCACATTGATATTATGATGATTTCATAATTATTTATTTTGTGCATGTATAGTTTTATTTTTTAATATTGGTCATTCCGCTGTACCGTTGATCGTTGTCGTCGACCGCTGTTGCATAATTTCTTCTCAGCAAAGAAATACACATAACGTGTGCAGTGATCATGTATTTATTATCGTTATTTAATAAACGGGCCACGAGACCAGTACTATTGGCCCGAGTACACTCACTCTCGGAGTAGGTTTCGGTTGCTGGAATAACGATGACGACTATACGTAGGTATACACTACCCATACGTCATTATTATAATGCCGACGACTTTCACCGCTCCTGTAGCCGTGGCTCGCGTCGTTTCACTCTTTTATTTTGAACACATACTATTATAAATTATAATGCACATTACATATTTATATTTTTTATTATTATCTGACTATTGTGGGTTGTAAAATAGGGTGTTATCGCTAAGTGTATGTAACATATCGAATATAATAATTCAATACTATGCATGTTCGCACTGTATACTATAATATAGTATTTTTTTTTTTCGTTCAACTGTTCATATTATACAATATAGATAGATATTTCATAATAAATATTAAAATGTGAATATGAAATTTCTAAAAAAATATACGATAAGTATTATAGAAGCACTAAATCGCGTATATAATATGGTATTATCAAGCCAGAAATGGCAAACGAATTCCATGTCCAGCAGAGAACTTAACAACATACTCGTACTGTGTCGTTATTTGCCGTCACGTGAGTCGACAGTAATATGTGTATTATGTACCTAACTATCTCGTGTTTGTGTTTTTCAGTATTCAACGACCAATTATATATAGATCTTATGTTGTTTTCTACGATATTTACTGCAAATAAACAAACGCTAAAAGTATAAATTAAATTTAAGTTGTGAACAACGAATATGAATATAAGCTTACACTGAGGATTAGATATATTAACAATTCCTTAGAGAAATCAAGATTTTGAGATTAATATTTAACAAATATGAACAGTCGTGAATGACTGGTGAAGAACGGTGATAACAACTGATTTTACGCCAAATAAAAATTACTTGAATTTACTTTGCTATTATAGTATGGATAAAAAAAAAAAATAATGAAGTAGGTACATCAATTTTCATATTTTTTCAACGTTCTATTTTTTACATATATACAATTGAGAGTTTCTATGTTAAATTATTATARTATTAAAAATGTTTATTAAGTCACTTGAAAATCTTATAAGGAAATCTAAGTAATACCTATATTAAGGTTATATAATAAATTGCTGGTATGCGTAATAATGGTTGTACGGTATCCACTGCCTTAGTGGTAGTACACGTGTATACATTGGTGCCATTATTTAGTAAAGTTGTAAAACCTGCAACATGTAATCTGCGATGATGATATCCGCGTATTTAAAATACTACAACGATCACACTTAAGCGCCGGGAAAGTACGTGAGAGGGAGGGAGCTAAAGAGACGGAAGGACACATCGTAAAATGCGTATAATAATATGAAATTATATGGTACGAGAATACTGTTGAGCGGGTGTGAAGTATAAGCGAACGGAAACGACGTGATGACGAGAGTGAAAACCGGACAACTACGGTGGCATCATTTTGCCGCTGGCACTATCAATAAATATGTAATATTATTAATACGTATGTTATTGTTTCATGTTCAGTTTACGTAATTTCACGCGTAAGCGACGATGACGACGACATAAGAATAAAATATAGTCAACGGATGCGCCAGTGATAGTCATCTCTGAACGACATTAGCCGTTAAATGATATTGTAAACTCCTTAATAGTTAATACTACGATGTAATTAAAGAGCATTATACATATACGATACTATACCGTAGTCGCGTTCGATCGTTTTACACCGTGCCATGTAAAGTTTTATGTATTCAAATTGTATAGGTAACGTGGTACCACGTATTTTTTACCTACGTATTAAGTGTTTTACAGAAAAAACACAACACGGTGTAGTGTAATTTTTACACTACACAGGTTTTATGTAATTTTTTTCTACACGGTACGATGTTCGTGGCCCGCTGGTGTTGCGGCATTGCCCGTCCTTGACCGACGCGAGCTCCGTTTGCGAATACCTATCATCGATGTACTTTAAGGGGAGTCATATGATACAAGTATCAACCGTGTGTTGCATTAATTATAAAAAAATCAAAATCTTTGTGTCTAAGTTAAAAATTTAAAGTTTAAACACCTAGGTATTTGTTATTACTGAATTTGCAGAGGATAACCTATCTTTTTTGCAACCTGTATTGTTCAACATAGAACTTACAAGCGTTTTATCATTTCTTAAACACTATTATATTACTTATACTGTTGTAAATTTTTCGATAGATAACATATTACAAAAATTATATACCATTATTATCTCAAAGAGATTAGGTATTGTCTTTAAACTTGAGAGCTTAGGTGACATTACTGACTATTTTAGTAATAGGAGATAAAACTCCTTACACATTTTTTGAATTTATCACGAAGTTACTAAAAAACAAATGTTTTTTTTAATATGAACTCTATTGATAACATATTGAATTTAAAATATTGAATATTAAAAACTTTAAAACGTTAAGTATTTGCCTAAAAATATTGGATACAAAAAAAAATTTAAACTTTATATAGGTATTTTCATATGTAGTCTCTATTTTACAAACACATCTAAGTATCCTATCAATATAATATACGTTCAGAATGTCTATTTAACATTGTATATTATTTTGGTTTTGTAGACATTTGAACTTTAATGCGATCTTTAAAATATGTTTTTGTACAATTTACAATACTAATAACATGCTTCAAAATGTAAATATAAAAATAAGCCTAAGTAAGCCTTTTTTAAATTTGATAATAGGTAAAATTTACTTTAAAATCTAATGTTGAAATCAATAAAATAAACTAAATTATTCTAAACGTAAAATTTGCTATTTAATGCGTTAATAAGACGGAAACAACTGAACTGGTAGTGATTAAGTGAAATACGAATAATGTTATCTTAAAAATGCTGAGAAAGTTGTTTCTAAATAAAGTTCGTAACAAATTTAAATTCAATTAAAAAATTATATTGGATAGATTAGTTCTTGGTCTATAGTATAGACTCTATACTAGATTATTGCTATAGTACTATTGGTACTATCACTATATCATTTTGTCACGTTAAGTAATTAAAATAGTAGAGTAAGGGGACAACCTTTACGCTGCCATTATTTTATTATATTTGATAACAATATAGGCCTATGTGCAATATCCTTGTATATAAAAGATATGGGTTAGTCAATACAATTGAAAAAATATTAAAAGTATTTTTATTGAGAGAAAAATTAAAATTAAAAATTCGTTTAGTGAGTGATGGCACTTTGTTAAAATGTCCTTTCACGAATTGGAGCACTCCACTATTTCTTATACACTACAATCATAGGTACATATTATAACTATATGTATTATAATTAGCATTTTTATCGCACACAACACAGAAATTTAACACAGTGTATGCCGAACACAAGCATCAGCTACTCTTCCTTTCGGAGATAAACAATTTTACTGTCAATTAATCCTTAGTAATAAAATCACATAAAGCGATAAAATTATAAAAAAGTATTAATGATTTTCATACTTCCAAGTTGAAACTTAGACTACTCAATATAATTTCAGGCCGTCTAAGAGAATA